GTGGGAACAACGGGCATCTGCACGGGTGTTGATGAGCGGAAGAGATTGGTGTAGAAGTTCTTCGCGATAGATTCCATCTTGTATCGGGAAGAAGTCGGAGTCCCGTCTTCGTTCAGTAGTGCAGCCAGCGGTACGTGATATTCGCAGAGGTCCCTTCGGCACTTCTTGAGACTTCGTCTTCTTTCTGCTGCTTCCAGTATCTTGGCTTGCCTGTACTTCCTGAGATCCTCCTGCAAAGCTGTTCTGCAACTGGTGTTGGCAATCAGTCGCTCGAGATGAGTTGCATTCGGATCCTGCCTCAATGATCTTCTTCTTTCGAGCAATTCCTTGGTGGTCTTCGAGATGCGGTCCAAGTTCTTCTCAGAAGTCACTGAGGCGCATTCTCCGCAGGCTCGCAATCCTTTCAGAAGCCGGTCGTAGTCGTACGTTGGGTCCTCCTCGATGGGCCAGTCACAACTTGATATGAGCTCTTCCAGCCTGTTACCGTCATAGACGACTTCTTTCCTTCTCGCGGCACTATGACAGACTTTCTTTTCCAGCCTTCGGCTGAGTCGTATCTTCGCTCGAAGGAGGCGGTGATCGGAGCCACTACAGAAGGATGGAACTACAGAGACATCGAGTAAGCTCCACCTTCGGTTGGTGAGAATGTGGTCGATCTCCGCGTGGGTCGTTCCGTTGGGCGATTCCCATGTCCACCGGCGATGTTCCTTCTTCATAAAGATGGAATTTCCATGGAAAAGTCGTGCGGCGGAGAGAAGCCCAACAAGACGGTTGCCGTTTTCGTTCCGGAGCCCATATCCAAACTTCCCGATCCTATATTCCCTTTCCAGTGGCATCCCGATTTTCGCGTTGAAGTCGCCCACAACAAACTTGTAAAAGGACTTCTCGTTGCGGACGACCTCCTCCACATCTTCGTAGAAAGCATCTAGTTCTGATTCATCAGCTGCTGATGTTGGAGAATAGCAGTTGATGATGCTGATGGTCTTCTGATGTGGAGGTCGTAGTCGTAGGATGCCTAGTCGAGGTGATAGGATCTCGTGCGAATCGACAAGATGGACGATAGATGGGTGGACGACAAAGCCGACGCCTCCCACATTTCGTGATGGAACCTTTTCACCACGAATGATGAGAGTCCCATCACTCATCTGTCGCACGTCCTTCTTCCTGGACTTCGTTTCCTGCAGAGCAATGATGTGGTAGTTGATGTGCTCTGCAGCGTCGAGAAGAGCGTGGAGGTAGGCGTTTGTGGAGACTGTCCTGGCGTTGTAAGTGCAGAGCATGAGGCAGTCTCCATGGCGTGTCGTCCGGGCAGACGTGTCGTTTTTGTCCAATCCGAAAGGCGCCCTGAGTACCCTGACATCGTTCTTGCTACCACCCGGCGCCGTAGGCGGGATCCGATGTACAGGGTTTTTTCTAAATCTTCTTGCTGTCTGAGTAATAAAATTTGTTCCCCTACAAGAGGTGGCTTACTAGGCCTACTCTTGATTTCCACGGGGTGATCGCTGACCCCGGGCTTGGAGCGGGGAGGGACCGCCTAGCGACCAGAAGAAGCCAGACGGCGGAGAATCTGGCGCGGCCAGTTCTTAGCTAGGCATCCGGCCGAAACCGGAAACGTCGAACTCCTTCACAGCTTGGGAGGCCCTACCAGAGTATACACTCGGCTGTGCATCGCACTGAGAAACTTATAAACTTTTTTTCCATTGTTCTTGTTCCTTAGTTGTCGGGCATCTTGTATGAACCGAAATAACTTTGATGAGTCCCTCTCTTGAGTATACAAGCATAAAGTGCTATAAGGAATGAAGAATGCGGTGCAGCCGCAGTTCTTCACAAGAAGTGCCACGAGCTTTCGTTAATAGGTAGCTCTGAGACATTCGAAGCACTTTCTTTCAGTCGCTGTGACATGACAAGATTCTTGATATGCCAATAACTCTAGAATCTCAATTTTGCTTATGACTGCTCTCATCTGCTTTACCCACTGATATTCTATGTTTTTGCATGGCTATGCTGGCTACATTGACGTGAAATGAACGATGGCGGTGCATTTATTGCCGTGCTTGTAAGAGAGATTACTGTTTTATAGAACGCAAAGAATAGAGTGCGTAGCTCATCAAAATTGCGGTCCCGTTTCTGGGTTCTCTTGCTTCCTTCCGGAAAGGCCATTTGTATCATTCTTTGTAAGAGCAGAACTGCTGATTTGAGAGGGCCGCAAATAATCCGCAAAAGCCCAAAACGGCCCTATGTAGGCTGCATTATACAAGCTGTCATGTACATTCTGATTTTGGAGTGCATGACTGAGTTTGAAGAATCAGTTTATGAGAAGTGACAATGTCAGATTTTGGGTGCGGCACTTGCTCGCCAAGGTGAAATTTCACTTTTTCCTAGCCACTTTCTCTTTTTCTAATCTTTTTCTCCTAATTCAATTTGCCTGCGAAGTTTATAAACCTAAGTTAAACAAAACCGCAAGTTTTTTTTTCTCATAAAATCCATTGTTGTCTAGGTTCTCATGAGAATATCGATCAGCGTGGTGCTTTTGCCCTCGTTTTCTCAAGCAGACAGAGGCGTCGGAGCACTTCTAAGGATTTTTCCTGTCTGTAGAAAGGCTTTGTACAAAGTGTGTGTAGTATATAGTGGCAACAATAGTGGTTTTCGTTTTTTATTGATTCAAACTCGCAATTTCCTTTGGACAGAGTAAGTTGTAAGATTTTGCTCCTGAAGTAAATATGTTAAACAAATTCTCTTTTCTCTGTCTTGAGTAGCCTGAACGAATTCAACGTTTTTTATGATGGGCTTCAGACTTCGTTCTTCCATGGTTTGGCAGAATATGACAAAAAGCGCCTGGATATAAGTAGGGACTCTGTAGTTAAAAGTTAGTATATTTTAAGCTTCTCAGACAATCGCAAATGAATTCCGAGGAAAACTGAAGCTCTAAACCTTCCGAGAGGACACTCCAACTGGAGCTGCCAGGTAGGGCGGGGCCCACCCACATGGTTCAATAAGAGCGTCCGCCGCGGAAGTTCTAGAAGTTCAGTTTTCCCCGGAAGTCATTTGCGATAGTCCGATCCTGCAGGCTCTTCCCGCTGCAAAATAGTTGAGAGATATTAATTCCTACTATCTATTGTCTTTTTTGAGGTTCAAAGCCAATCTCGGCTTAACCTTTCGAAAATTTTCGCCACAAATCTATGCTTGCTTGTTTCCTACCTATCATTGTGGATTATCCTTCAGGCTCCTCAATATACTGGGAAAAATTGAGATGCAGTATGTGTAAGAATCCTTTTTGTAAGCGTTTTCAAAACTTTTGCACCTAGCATGTCAACTATATTATCTACATACGTCAACTGGACATGACATTCTGTTTGTAACTCAATCTCGCTCTATCATAATTTCATAATAACTTGAACGTCATAATGCTTGTTGCTGAGAAAAAAAATATGCCCTTTCAAACGCCAACCTAAAACGCCAACCTACTTCTAAATTAGGTATGTCGGGTCCACCCCCGGACTTTCAAGAAATGTTCTGTCACGGATAGCTGTTGTCCTGAAGACACAAATTGAAAGTGATATCATTGCAATGTTTGCATGCTGGAAATTAGATGTCAATCCTCTTTTTTGTCTTGAGGATGCTGGGGGAGTTCTTTTCGTAGGAAAAAGTTAAACCTCATAAATCAGTCTCTTATCTTTTGTTTTCACAGTGCTAGATAATCCCTGCTTCATTTATGGTAGTGGATTTCATTGTAACATCGTATCATGCTGCAACTGTGTGAGACGCATCTTGACGTACATATATTCGAGTTACTTCGGCCTTTGAAATTTTTGCGTTAATTTTTTCATCTCGATAATTTAATTTGAGCTCCATCATTTGTTATTTCCACCATGTCTGACCAAGTCGCGTCTGATATTGCTCGAATTCGTTTATTAAAGCTTCGGACTAAAATTTACTTTTTAATATGACTTCGACAGAACGATGCGCTGAAGCTTTGCTGTTATGTAAGGGGCAAGGAGATGAAGCCCTTTTGCACTGTTTCGCGAAAGCGCATCTGTTAAGATGGGACCACATTTTCTTACAGGATATGAAAGATTATTTTTCGTAAAATCCACTCTTTTGCTATGGCTCGAGACCCATTTGCACTTTAACTGCGAAAAGGCGAAGACATATTTAGGTTTGTCGTATATAAATTTCGCTGAACAAAACAAAATGTGCTCTGCCGCTTTCGCTAAAATTGTGTTCATTAACTGATCAGGGTGCAAGCTTCCGAAATTCTACACTCATTAAAGGCAGTAGGTCGGCAGAATGAGACCCGTGGCAAAACAAGGTCACAGGATAGGAGCCCCATAATGGAACCTATGGGCCAAAGTTCGGTCTTTCTCTGCCACTTCTAACCCCCGAAATTTCAAAGCGAAAGCAGCGCTCATCTCCTGTCCTCTCCGAACCCGCCCACCCCATGGACGAGCGACTTCCGCGGTCAGAGCGCCAGCCGCAATGCTATAAGCATGAGGTCCCGCAACGACTCTGCGTCTTCGCCATGACGGGCTTCGCGTTCACTCGTCCATGGGGTGGGCGGGTTCGGAGAGGACAGGAGATGAGCGCTGCTTTCGCTTTGAAATTTCGGGGGTTAGAAGTGGCAGAGAAAGACCGAACTTTGGCCCATAGGTTCCATTATGGGGGCTCCTATCCTGTGACCTTGTTTTGCCACGGGTCTCATTCTGCCGACCTACTGCCTTTAAACGGACTAAATTTGTGTTCTGACACTAAGCGAAAAGCTAATCGAACAAATGGTGTTTGACGCAAGTGCACATCTAGTTTGGTCTTCGTTATTACCCAGGGGACCCATTGCTAGAATGTTTCATTCTTGTCAGCTCGTTTGCAAGTACTCTTGTTACGAATTACGATGGCGCTTTGTCCGAAGACTTCGAATATTTCTCGCAACCTGCTCTCTTCAAATGCAGGCCTCAAGATTTTTCCAGAAATAAGTTGGTTCTATTATATTATTCTAGCTTTTTTTCAGATGCAGACACGACATGTCTGACAAGGAAAAGGAGCTTTGCCCACGATTGATAGATTACCTTGTTGTGGTTGGAAAACGAAACAGAACAAGGTGACCGATGTTTTCTGACGCAGTCATTCTTATTGCACTCGATGATGAAGTGGAACGTTTTTTTTGCTGGACAAAAGAAATTCCGAGAATGTATTGTATGGACAAAACACATTATTTTTCCTATTCTTGCACATAATAAATGCGCCAAGGTCTTAACGTAGTCAACTGGCAGCCGAGATTCTCTCAAAATAGAACATACCTTGTGAATCATGAATACAAAAAATTGCAAGTAACGAAATTCCAGACAAAAGTCAAATGTCTGAACATGCAGTGATTATGGATATTTCTTCATACGTAAATGTAAAGAAATGTTTTTGTGTTTTGTGTTTGCTTCAGTATTTTTATTGAGTTTTCACTCACTGCAGTAACTGCTCTTATAAAAACCAACAATCTCATTTTATAGGAATGCAAGCAAAAATAGTACAGATGGTCCCATCCATACATCAATAACATATCCGGAAATACTGAGGAGGTGGGTTATCCACATTGTTGATTTTCGATTTTTTTTTTTGGCTATTTTGTATCTTTGCAAATCTCTTTTGCACAAAATCAGAAGTTTTGTCGTAGGTATCCAACAGACGACCACAAGGATTTCGTTTTGCCGACGGATGTGACCGTATTTTGTCAGCCTGAAGGATGCCTGACATTGAGTAAGTCAGCAATTTTATTTTAGCAAAGCTAGGTCACTTTATTTCTAACATTTTCGCGTACCTTAGTGAGCGTGATAGAGCACTTTGCAATCAATTTCCTTTTTGTCACCTTGTTCCATATTTTACTGTTTGTATATCATTCTAACCAATGTACACACATATATATATAGTCGAAGTGTGCCTCACTGCTTGGAATTCTTACTTTCTTCCATCTCTATCACGCTATATTTAGAGGCTACTGTAGGACAAAAGCGCAGAAGCAGTACTAGTTGAGCGGGCGCGAACGCGGCGCGCGCGTGTTTTCACCGTTGTAAATCCTGCGCCTCATGCGCTCTGCGGCTAATAAAAGCGCGCCCAAAGATAGTGCACCTTTGTCGTGCAGCAGCCTATAAGTGCTTTAATTACTATTTAAGTACATGAATTTCAGATGCTCACTCCAGGCGAGGCCAGTCACGCGATCCGCAATTTTTTGTATTCATGTTAACCGAAAAGGATTCGGCGAAAATTCGATACGGTGTTTGCCTAAATTTCTACCAATGTTCGGAAAAGAGACAACTCAACACAGAACGTGGTGCAACGGGAAAGAAAGGGTTAGTGGCCAATTTCCTTCGCCTTTTTGAAAATTCAAACCAGTGAATCACGGAAACTTGTGAAGCCACTTCTTATGTTCATGCACTGAAGGAAACATTACCGTCGAGTGCGCAATTAGTGTTCATGGATAGATCACAATGTCAGAAGTTCTAACAGAATATAATAAAGTGAATACTCAAATTCCAGGAAGGACCACGCCGTATCGTTGACTAGCCTCTGTCTGATATCCCATCATCCTTTTGTCTCCATCTTCCATGACCTACTCGTATTGCTAAAACAGATAATTGATAGCTGTAGTCATCGTGCCACCCAAAAGACGGGCATGAAGTGAGTGGGATTCTTGAAAAAAACCCGAGTATACCTTGTCCTCAATCTTAAGTTGCAACTACTAATGAAGTTCAGAGATGTTGTTTGGTCCGTTCTCACTGGTCATTGGCAAGATGCTATTCCTCCAGACGCTATGCGAGAAATCAAGGAAATCGAAACATGGATTTTAATGCTACTGAGCTCACCGGTACCAGTACCAGGCAAGACGAAAGTACAGCTTGAGGTGACTTTTACAATAAATCCATCTAGATATCAACTCAGAGCTCCCAGTTTTAGGTGATGCCATCTGATATCTCTCCAATTTTCGAATTTGCTCTGCCTGATCATACACGATTTTCGCTCGTTGATTTTCCTTTACATCTACCATTCGAGCTATTAGGAGTCGATACCGCTGTTCGCGTTCTGGCAGCCATCATGCTCGAGTTCAAGGTGCGACACTTCTCCGAATTTTTCGTCATTTATTTGGATTATCATGCATAATAAAAAATTTAGGTTGTGATCCAATCTCGAAATTACAATGCTGTCAGCATGTGTGTATTATCATTAGTGCACCTCCTCTATCCGCTTGAGTACATGTTTCCGGTGATACCATTGCTGCCAGCCTATATGCCCTCGGCGGAGCAGGTAAGAGACAATTCATCTTTTTCGCAAACTTACCCTTTGATTTAACTGGCTTGGCGGCTGGAAGGCGGGGCTTTATGATCTAGTTAAGGCTAGATAATGATAGGAGAGCACGCGCGCGAGAGAGACACAGACTGCGTAGCGGGCGCGTGCTTCCTCAATTAAGTCGCAAAGCCTCGCCTTTCAGCTGCCAAGCCAGTTGAATTGAAGGTTGCCAAAACCCTAAAGCTCAGAAATGTGCTCGCTTTTCAATATCTGAGATTTCAACTATCAAGCAATCTGTCAAGCCCTTTTTTCTTTCTCAGCTCCTTCTTGCTCCAACACCGTTCGTTATTGGTGTACCGGCGTCGTTCTTTGCCCACAAGAGGATCAAGGAAGTGCCCAGCGATGTTATTCTCGTAGATTTAGACGCAAATCACATAACTGTGCCTGATGAGCTGTTTATCCCGAATTTGCCCGAACCGGATGTTTCAACGTTAAAGGTTCATTTGTGAAATAGAGGTGGATTATAATTTGTTTAAGATTGAGCCTTTTCTTTCAGAATAGTCTTCATGCTGCTTTGAGCAGAATGAGCATGACGATGAACGACGAACGACGTGGGAGTGTGGAAGCTTCCTATGCTGTAGATGCTGACATTGTTGATGTCTGTTGCAGAGTTGCCATGGTCAGTGCTTTCAAGAATATTCGGTACTCCTCCGTTATCTAGACCCATTTCTTCAAAAAAAAAAGTGCTTCTTTCCTTGTACCAAATTTAGTAACATCTTCACGAGATGGAGAGTCAACCGCCTGCCACATGTCAAAAAACTGACATGACACCTAATTTGATTCAACTGGCTTGGGGGCTGGAAGGCGGGGCTTCGTGACCTAATTAAAGCCGATAATGATCAGAGAGCACGCGCGCGAGAGAGACGCAGACTGCGTAACGGGCGCGAGCGGCCTTCATTAGATCACAAGCCCCGCCTTCCAGCTGCCAACCCAGTTGAATCAAAGGTCACATGTTTAACAGGTTTTATCAAGAGTTTGTCTAGTCTACCTATCGATATAAGTTCATTCTGTTTTTTGTTCAATAATGACCCCATTTTTAGTCAACTTTCTCATGAATGAGCTTCAACATTATGGAAATAACATTCCGTTTTTCTTACACATTAGGTTTTCCCAAAACAGAGAAGTGGGCTATTGCATCGTCATCTAAACGACGAAACAATCGACAGCCAGGTACTTCAAGCCATCATTTATATTCTTTCCCGGCTGAATTGGCCTGGCGACAATGGTAAAAGCAGGATTTCTTTAAATCATTGCTGAAAGCTACCAAGATGCTTTAATAAAGGTTTGAAGCTGTTTTGCTTTTATAAAAGACTCCCTGAACAGCTTTCAAGTCATTTAGATGGTGTTGTACTTCACCGGAAATGGTTTTGAAAAACGTGTCAAACTGGCCCCAAACGTGTTAATTTTTATCTTTACACGTGGCAAGGAGACAGTCCACACGTTCTAAGAGAGAAAAATTTTTGGTCTGAAGCACGTAAGTCATGAGAGCATTTCGAAGAACGGGTCCGGATAATGGAAAAGCACCGAACATTCTGGTGCCAGATCTCTAGAGAGAATATCACTATTTCAGGTCAAGTTCTTCAATTCCCCCAACGTCTTTGGAGACTTTTCGGAGCACACAAGAACTCTTCGACTGTATCCTAGACCAGTAGTTGCTTTGCAGTCTGAGTCGTTTCTTAGGAGTCGACCTCAGTGTACGCAGTTCATCACCGAATTATGCAGGTACGGCTGAGACAATGGGGGGGGGGGGGGGGGAGGAGGAGTTAATTATTATAGAAAACTTGATCAGAGTCATCACTTCTTAGTCCAGCAAGCAAATATAGTCGGCCATATGATGCCACACAGAGCAATTTTCTATAGCCTCTTTTTTTATAGATTGGAGACGAGAATGAAAAAATAATGCACAGTACTTAGCGTAACGGAGCTTTGAGAGTGTTACCAAATTCCAGCTTTCCCTTTTTTTAGATTTTAGAAAATGTGGATACCAGACTTTTTCAAAATTGACCTTTGTAACTATGCAGCAGGCAAATATTGACACATTTTTGATGTTTTACTAGTGTTTTTTGAGTAAGACGCAGCCTTACCAGGAAAGCTGTGAACTCTTTTTGAACCGCACCAGCTCCTGAGAGCTATAATCGTTGTTAGGTCGCTTTTGAAGAAGACGATCAATTCCTGATTACTCTTTATTTTTTTGGAAGCGGGATAACAATTTTCTTGGGCTTTCCGCATTGCTTCTTTCAAAACATTCAACTTTTAGGACACAAGCTGTGGAATACTTTGCGGAATGTTGTCTCTGCCCAAAAAACGAGACGTTCGTTAGAGTACAAGCAGGTATTGAAAGTCCTACGCAGATTGGAGATAAGGCGAAATGGTTCAGCGAATCCTTGATGCCCGTGCACTTCATGGTATATCCTTTTCTTGATGTATAATCAAAAACGTCGAAATTTTCCTCAGGTCTACCCAAATGAATCTTCGCTCTGTGCTGCATACTATGCTTACAGTAGGGAAAGCGGTGTTGAATCAGACAGCGACGACAATGAGTCGAGATCTATAGATAGCTCGTCGAGCATTGATGATTTGGTATTTGATGGACCCGATGAAGCTAGTGGTGAGTTCTTTATCTCCTACTTTTTCTGGAGAAGTTGTAAATGTCTATTAGAGCGTGATATCATCATTAAACCACTTGCCGAAGTGAATGATGTCTATAAGGAGCCATTGACTTTGGAGCTTCCGCCTAGCGATAGTGCTGCTTCGATTGGTAGTTCCATTAGTAGTGGAAGGTGGGTAGATCAATTGTCAACGTTTACCATTATGTTTGTATTTTTTGAATTCGACAATGAGGAGCAATTACAGGGATTGATGTCAAGGGTCTTCAAATTATTCACATGTACTTAACAATAGTATAAAAGTTATAAGTTATAATTATTTCATTTAGATCCAATAATTCAGACGTATTTCAATAAAATATATAGTGAAAGTACCCCCTCCCCCCTCTCCCCCCATTCTAATAAAATTATTCTGCATGCCATTCACATTCATTACCACTTAGCTCTACAGTGCTTTACCGAAGTTACCGATTGCTTTCATTTATTGTGCAGAACTCCCACGTTTTGAAACCTACTGTTTGAATTGAGTTTACCCGGCTAAAGCGATTTTTGAATTGACAAAGGGTTCCACTGCACTTTTGTGAAATCAGGAATTGAATTAAGAATGCGAGATCTTTTTTTGCTATATGAATAGTGCAAACCTGAAATTACTTAAAGTCGAAACGAATGATGATTGCGAAAAAATTTGAAATCTTGTGTTTTACTTTTTCTAGAACAGTGACAAGCTATCCTTTGCAGGTCTAGTCCGGCTTCTTCACTTTCCGCCTCGGCTATTGATAGTGAAGCTGATTTTGCGAGACTGGCTGAGAATCTTGCTTTGAAATCTGATTCCAAGGTAATTAAATTGTACTTGCTATCAGAAGGGCATTTTATTTGAGCAAGTATTTAGTGCCTCAACAAGTTAGTGATTTCTACAAAATCTAAGCAACTTCGTTCTCTAGGGTGCATTTTCCTTTGATCACGGAGATGATGAGGACTTCGAAACGACGCCAGTATCGCAGAGAAGAAAGCCGATATCAAGTGAAGTAAGCACTCCAACGTCAGTGAAAACACCTCCGTTGAAGGGAATGCGGATCAAAGTAAGAATTTCTATTATCATATTCAGTTGCGCTCAGATTCTGCATGCTAAACTTCATAATTGACATTTTTCTATAAAAGCAATTCAGGGCTTATCGACCCTGACTGACTCGGGTGAAAAGGTTTTGGGTCCAACGTTCATGAGTGCAATAAACGGGTATGCCGAAAGGAGCCAAGATATATTCAGTCAGGTGTGTTAATCTTGCCTTTCTAATCTAATTTCTTACGGTATATATCGTTAATTTACTGATGTATCACATTCATTATTTGATGCACGTTCGAACCTGGTCATTTTTCAGATTGATAAATATAAGTATTTGTCCTATTATAGCCCAGAATCTCACCTCATCTTATTGCGATTTCCTCCTTTATCTTTCTTTTTGCGAACTAACAAGTTTTTTCCGTATCTGGAACTTGTTTGTGTCCAAAAATCTGTCTAGTGAGGAAATATACTCAATCCACTGATGCGCTCAGACAATCGCAAATGACTTCCGGGGAAAACTGAACTTCTAGAACTTCCGGGGGCTCCTATTGGACCGTGTGGGTGGGCTCCGCCCTACCTGGCTCCAGTAGAAGTGCTCCCCGGAAGTTTTAGAAGTTCAGTTTTCCTCAGAAGTCACTTGCGATTTTCTGAGCGTTTCTCCATCACCCTTTCGAACATAGCTCAACCACGCATCCTCTTATTCCGCTATTTCATTTGATCCAATTGTATATGTCTTTTTCTTTTTTCTCAAGACGCTGAACCTTTTCGCTTGAGAATAGAGTGGAAATTTATTAGGGTGTTCGGAAAGTAATGGGACAGCTTGATTTCTTCTAACTGCAGGTGCTCAACAAAACTGCTCCGAAGGCTCAAGCTCTACGTGAAAGGACAATGAGACCTTTGGCTGCGGCAGCGGCGACGAAGATGGAACAGAGTCAGCATCTTGTGAAGAGCAAAACAGCTGGAAATCAGACTAGCTCTCAAGCAGCTTCGCAACAGAGGTATTTTATCTGGTATCGCTCTATAAAAGTAGCAAAGTTGATCAGTTTTAGTAAAAACCAGCAAACAGTTCGTGAAATCTGCGATCAGGTGCTGTCTGGGCAAGGCGTTGGCGTGTTCACTTATCCAAAATTGAAACGGTAGCTAGATTGTCGAACTGACTTTAAATAAATAATTTTTTGTTCTGGTTGCAGGTTAATGGAAGACGAAAGCTTGAGGGAATTGGTTTGTTCGAAGCTGAACTTAGGCCTGGATCATCGTTTGACGGACGAAGATTATGTAAAAGAAATTGTTAGTTTTTCTGAATTTTGCGATTGCCAAGTCTTGCAGTAGATATGGAATATTCAGGCACTGAGCAGAGTTCAGTACAAGGGCTACGTTCGCGTTCTGCAAGCGTGCATCGCAGGAATTGAGGTACTGTTAATATTAGTTTTTTTAATTGCTTAAATTTTTTCGTCAAAATTCAGGTATCCTTTAACACTCCTGGATGCTGCGGATTGGCTAGCGTGTTTCATGTACTAGAGATAGCTCATACACATTACTGGTGCAAAGGTAGCGACATCACATCTCCATCCAGTTCCACTCCAAGCACAGTGAGTTTCTCAGTTTGATTGTGAGGAATGGTTTCGTCCTATTTTCTAAAAGATTTGGCAATGTAAGTACTCTTACTACTAGCGACCCTACGGGTCGCTAGCAAGTGGGTCGGGGCAGATACATATAAGGGCTTAGGTTTGATTAAAAATATTTCTTAATAAGTTTCCTGTTCCTTTCCTGAGAACATTTTTGCGAAGAGCATTCCACAAAAAGAGAACTGCTCGAAGAAGCGATAATCTCCACAAATCATTCAGCATTTCTCGAAATTCCTGCTACATCCATGCATGATATTGTTTTTATCTCGTTTACACGCTTCTTATGCAAATCTCCCTCCTCACAGAGACATTCACATACCCCCCCCCCTCCACTTTTCTACCCTCTCAAAGAGAATTTGCTCTTTCAGTTCTTTTCAACAAGTTCCATAAAATATGGTTAAGTAAGTAGCAGAACATATCGTTTTGGAAGTAGAAATACACCATAAGAATTATTTGTATTACAAAATACACTTTTCTCTCAGAATCAGTTCCGACAGCAACGAAATCAGTCGCGTCTAAGATGTCAAAGAATCCTTCAATTTTTTCGCCAAAGGGATATGAAGCTTTACTACAAAAGGAAGCCACCCAAAGACCGTCAATCATAAGAACTGCACAAGCGTGTAAAAAATTTCTTTCCTTGTCCGATCAAATTGCCCTACGTGCCGTTTACAAACCAATTATCTATCTGAAAGACAGTTCATGCCCTACGTGCCGCTTGAAGACCGTTAAAAATTACAAGAACTGTCATAACATACAAAAATCTGTTTCCCTGCCCGATCGGGTTGCCCTACATGCCGCTTACAGACCGATAGTAACTATTCAAAAAGATAGTTTATGCCTTACGTGCCACTTGAAGACCGTTCAGGAATTACAAGAACTGCCATAACATACAAAAATCTGTTTCCCTGCCCGATCGTGTTGCCCTACGTGCCGCTTACAGACCGATAGTAACTATTTAAAAAGAAAGTTTATGCCTTACTTGCCGCTTGAAGACCGTTTAAGAATTACAGAACTGCCCCAAACATAAGAAAATCTGAAAAAAAATCCGCTTACAGACCGATAGTAACTATTCAAAAAGAAAGTTTATGCCCTACATGCCGCTTGAAGACCGTTTAGGAATTATAAGAACTGCCCCAAACATACAAAAATCTGTTTCCCTGCCCGATCGGGTTGCCCTACGTGTCGCTTACAGACCGAGAGTAACTATTCAAAAAGAAAATTTTGGGAACTGCCCCAAACATACAAAAATCTGTTTCCCTGCCCGATCGGGTTGCCCTACGTGTCGCTTACAGACCGAGAGTAACTATTCAAAAAGAAAATTTTAGGAACTGCCCCAAACATACAAAAATCTGTTACTGCCCGATCGGGTTGCCCTACGTGCCGCTTACAGACCGAGAGTAATTATTCAAAATGAAAGTTTATTCCCTACGTGCCGCTTCAAGACCGTTTAAGAATTATAAGGACTGCCCCAAACATACAAAAATCTGTTTCCCTATCAAGTATTTATAGCGTATTCTCAAACTGCCGTGCATGCCACTTTTGGACTTTCAATTCTGAGAACTGCCCCAAACAAAAATCTGTACAAAAATCTGTTCCCTGCCCGATGGAATTGCCCTACGTGCCGCTTACACACCAATACCCAGTTGAAAGCACCAGCTGGACCCAGTTACACAAGCAAAGCAAGGTTGCTGTTAGATAAACGCTTTCAAAAGTATCAGCGAGGCCAAGCTACTCATGCACTCTCTTGTCTCCACGCGGAAGCAAGATAATCCTAAAGTGACTGTTGTTAGAGCATTTTTGGGAAGAGTTGAGAATATAGATGAATTTAGCTCAAGTCACGCTTTCACGCAATTTGGCATCATTTCAAAAGCAACTAATAGGAGTAGAACATATTTGAAAGACACATTTTGGGATAACAAGTTCGATTTTAAAAAGCAGGTACAAATAGCACACCCGGACACTGGCGACACAGTCTCAAAATCATTGCGACACTCATGATTGTCTTTCGAAACCCGTGTGACCCTTTTACGAAAATATACTTGGTCGCTCGTTATGAAATTTGGCAGCGTTCCAAAACGCATGCCACTTGGCAGCAATCCAAATTCAAAGATCAGTGTATTTCATCATAATTTTTACGTCTGCGGCCTCCTCGTTTGCCATGATCCAACTATCGGCGGCTTAATGGGTAAACAACGAATTCGTTATATATTACGTAGTGATAAGCGTTTTAAGGAGAAGGTAGTACGCGGAAAATTGGAGGGTAGCCATTACTTGATGCTCTTAAACTTTTCATCATCTTTGCCGGATAAAGTCCTGTAGAAAATTTCCAGCGATTGTATTAAAGATATAAGCGAGCCTTTCTTCATCAATAAAGGATGTCAAAATCGATTAATTTACTTGCGTGGTATTAACAAGACTACTCGTCATCTCACTTGTATATTTCAGTTGGTCACTCCGTCAGCTTCATCTCCAGATCTCAAAGAATTAGGAGATCGCTCGAGCAGACCCAAGCTCCCCACATCTTCTGTAGATACTCGAATGCCAACAGTGCCGGTCGGTCAAGCCAACCAGGCCAACCAGGCTAAGCAGGCTAGCGTTAACGGATCATCGCTGAAGGTGACACCATCTGGGTAAGATCTTCAGCTTGGAATCTTTGGATGAGAAAAAACTTCTAAATCACTGCAGGTCAGAGTCGTCGGAGATGTCAACGCCTGTTCCGCTGGCTCCTCCTCCCCTCCCACCACGCGATGGCCCACCTCCTGGACCTCCACCTCGTCCACCACCAGTACCACCGCACCCTGCGTCTTCTGCGCCGATCCAGAACGGACCACCTACGATACCACCTTCACTTCCGCCTCCACCGTTACCACCAAGTACGATCGCAGGTCCGCCGAAAGTCCCGCCACCAGAACGGAGACCTCCACCGGCGCCACCAGAGCGAAGACCTCCGCCGGTGCCGCCAAGGCCAGTGTCGTCTGGTTCAGCCGAATCCAGCGGCGACGCGTCGAGGACCGGAAGCACCGGTTCTTTGAGGGTTAGAATTTGCTTACTGCGAGAAGGTAACTCACTTTGCAACTTTCAACTTTGCAGGTACCACCCAACAGTCTACCAGTGGGGAAGGCGGAGCCACAAAGAGTTCCAGCTACTCCTTTGGAGCCCACACGGCATTATATCTATCAGGATTTGATACGTACGTTTCGGAGTTGAAAATGCAGTCTGTTCGTTCACTTTTTTCCCTTTTAGTCCCCGCACAGAATCCTCTTTGGCAAAAAGTCGTGTTTTGGGAAAATGCTTTTGTTGACGTGGTAGCACAAGAACGGGATATTGTTGGCATGGATCAAGAACCCTCCGAGATGATTGACAGGTGAACTTCGCTTCAGTAGTATATATATGTCAAAATTTTTTGCTACAGGTATGCGGCATTGAGCGATTCTGAAAAGAAAAGGCTAGAACTGGAAGAAGATCGTCTACTTTCTACTCTCCTTCACAATTTGACTGCTTATATGATAATGTGTGGAACAGGGCAGAAAGCTATACAGCAGGTATGTTTCGTAAGTGAGATATTGACTGGGAATAGAAAGTTCGTTTTTTCAGAAAATCCGTCGACTTTTGGGGAAAGCTCATATCGGGCTTGTATGCTCGAAAGAGATTAACAAGCTTCTCGATGAACTTCCACAAACGGTCTGTTTGCTGAGTGAATATGTTGGATGCGGATGAAAACGAAATAGCTATTTTCAGCAAGGCAACTCTATCCCGCTCAAACCATTGGGGAGTCGATTAGTGCAAAAACACTCCTTTACAGTGCATGCTGGGTCAAGTTCGCAGGATGACATGATGTTTATGGAGGTGGGTATCTGATCTCTTTTTTTCCTAGGTTTCTATTAGGTTGGCACATAAGTTTTGCAACTTTTCCCGTAACTTTTTTGCTATTTTATGTAGCAATCTCATTTTGTGGCATTATGTAGACCGTGATGTAAGCTGCAAGTCTGTGCAAACCGTTTGATTTTTGATAACGTAGTACAAAAAAAATCTAAGCATTTCTTAAAAACTGCTGAAAATCGAGGTTTCGCGATTTCTTGGCAAACATGAAGCCCTACGAAACCTGATTCAAACATATGAAAAAGCAATTATAGGCAGCATGTAGCTGGAAGCTGGCATATTGGAATCAGTGAAAAAGAAATGAAATTTAAACACAAATTAAGGTGGGGCGCCTTTGAGAAGTTGAACAAGTCAAATGCGTCAAGTTTTGAAGGCAATTTGTCAATAACTAAGCTGCGAAAAGTCAGAATTCGCTATAACTTTGCACTATAGGGTAATTCTATGCGGTAAACACTAATATCATATTCATTTGTCGCTAAAATGAAATTCATCTTTTGATCTTACGAACGAGGCCTTTTCATGCGAAATGGATCTCATTTTTGTAATCAGCATGTCAAATAAGCCCTATAGGCCAAGTTTCAGCAAAATCTGATGCATTTTAAAATTTTTCCCATAGTACCGTAAACCTACCGTAATCCTCACATAAGATGGTAAAATTCGGCAAAAATTTGTGCATTAGAAGCTTACATCATATTCCTTATATTGCCAAAAAATGAATGCGCTACGTTCAAATATACAAAAGTTATTTAAAAAGTTGCATTACTTATGTGCCAACCTAATACACTGAACCAGTTTCCTTTGAAGAACTCGTAAAGCACTACATTTACACACGTTTAGGTATGCGATGATGCCGTCGTACTTCGAGCAGTAACCGGTGCAGTTGCAGAACGTTGGTGGTATGAACGACTTGTGAATATGACTTACTCGCCTAAAACAAAGGTTTCTTTATCGCAGATTTGTCACAACCATGCCACTAGTGCTGAGAAAAGTGATACTACTGTTGGCTAAAGAAAGGAAATGATTGGGTGGTGGAGGGACACATAAAGGCTCCTGCCGAATGAAGCGGAAAATCTAAGGATACGAACGCGGTTTTACTAGCCATACAGCGCATGAGGCGCAAGGTTTCCACCCGTGAAAATAGCTGCGCGCCGCGTTCGCGCCTGTTCAATTGATACTGGTTTTGCGCCTTCGTCCGGAGGAAGCCTTTACCGCCGAATGAGGGCGTCTGCTTGCTGAATGGCATTCTCACCAACGATTGGCATTCTAGCACAAGTTGACCTTTACCACGCCCTTGTTCGGCAGTAGATATATTATGATCCATGTTCATATTTCAACCAAATTGAGATAGGTGTTGCCGTAAAAATTTCACTGATAAAATGTGGTACGTCTACAATACAAAATAAAAAAATAAATCGAGCAGGACGCAGAATTCAAGTTGTAGAGCAGTGTTTGACAATGATTAGTGGTCCTTGTATCCCAAGGTGTAACGACGCAACGCAGCAGCGACAGAAATGTCTGAGTTGTCTGCTTAATGTAGTACACAGCAGAATTGCCGAGAATTTTGAAGACATCCAGAAAACGAGTGGAGGAATGATTTTGTTAGAACGTGTTCATTTCGGCTCTCGAGCTGTCTTCTGAGGTTGGTATCAACTACGCGTTGTTACTCTATCTTGACCGTATGTTGGGCTGACTCGCCGAAACGTCAGCCCTTGAAGAACTGATACAAATATTGGTTATCGCTGAAACTATAACGCAATGGTAACGCCATTCAAAAAATCATCACATAGCGGAAAACCGCGGTGCGGTCCCGAAGCGCGCGGATGCTACTAACACCTTTAATTACTGGTTGACTAGTTACGGGTAGGGGAACGAACTCCGCCAGTTTGGCCCGCCTTCGCTGGCAACTGGTCCTTTCGCAGTGTTGTTGCATGCCGTTGCAGGACCAGTCGTCCGCAGAGGCGGACCAAACTAGCGGAGTTCGTTCCCCTACTCACCACTTACTAGAAAAGCGCTAGAGTCCCCATCTCAAGAGGAACATTGAAATATTGGGAAGGGTACAAAAAACATTTACCAGAATCGTTTATTATATTATAAATGCTACCCAAGGCCTGACTACCCTCACTCATTATCTTCATATAGACCAAGGCTCAGTTTTAGGGCTCGCAGCGTAAAGTTCGCATTCTGAGACTGGAAACGAGGCTAAGGCCTAGTAATTACTGGGGACTCAGACCTTGTGGAACACGGACAGGAGCTTTTGAATTATGGTATTGGAAATTAGACAAAAAGAAATTCTAATCACCTTTAATTTTTTCGTATGTCCAACGATCGCGCTACTACCAAAAGAAATTACTGCTTGCAATACCTTAGCAAATTCCTCAAAAATTTGGCCTCGATTGATGTTTTAGAACTTTGAGACTTTCTGACGTTCACTAGATGCCATACTCCACCATTTGTGAATTTGTTTTTATGAATTTTTTTTGTCGCAGCTTCAGAATTAGTGGTACGCCATCTTGTGCTTACTCTCCTTGTAACTTTCCTGGATCGTTTTGTGCTTTCGCTTGTAACGTATTATCAGTACCGCAGTAGCCGTCTCTGCGAATTGGCGAGCCCCGTTATGTGAGGGCCCTTCCCCTCCCATTCGCCCAGGGTCTCTGACCGATTCGTTCGCTTTTAGCTGAGTTGGTCAGTGAAGCCCTGGTAGCCCTTTCGTTCAATATCCGCTTCTGAATAAGGGAAAGTGATTTCGGGAGAGGATTTCTTACCTATTGAAGAAGAAAAACAACCTGAAGGCTCAAGGGACTCGACTTTTATTCAATGGTCTGATTCTCTTTTGGTGCATCTTTGTGTGTAAATAAATAAATAAATAAATAAGTAAATGTTTGCAAAAATGACATGACATGGTAAAACACTCTCAGTAAATGTCTGTCGTTCTAGGTACTCTGCTTATGGCGACGGCACGAGGATAAAGTCCACATGCATAAGTTCTATACAAAGAAAGTAAGTAATCCTAGTACCTAGGGAACTGACTTAAGATTTTTACTCTTCAAATGTATAAATTTTTAGTGCAGAGAGCTTTACCAGTGTGTGAAAAACGCCATGGAACGTGCAGCGGCTCGTGGACGAGTTTCGGTAGAGGGTCGGGCTCTTGGTGGAGAGTTTCCTGTCCATGATACTGAAACAAATCAGGGTGGATTGCTTCAAGTCCGCTGTGATGGGGTAGCTGTCATCTTTGCCAATAGCCAGGTTAACACAAAGATCAGCTGCTGACATACGATGCATAGAACATATTACGTTTAGCAATTCATCGATCTCGCAAACATAAAAAAGTGCAATACATTTGGTGGTAACGTCTTTCTCCTCGAGGAATTTGGTGAGTGTATGTCAGGTTTAATTATATGCCGTTTGCACTAGGAATGAAGATGAAATGTTCTTTCGACTACTTCAAAACCAGAGTTTACAAGTAGATGCGGAGCCCGTTGGGCATGCCTGCTGGTTATGTGCGATTACGCTCACGCTGCTAAATCAATACGACTTCGTTACGGGTTCCGCAAAAGTTTTTCAGTGACATTGAGTCAAAGAGTGAACTATGCTAGAACATGTACGTTAGTGTGACCCAAATGAAAACGCTAGTGAAAGTGGTACGCATTTCTACCATCTTGTTTTTGAAGTTTTCTTGCCTTGCCAAAACAACCATATTTCTGTCCTGCAAATCAATGAGGCAATTAATTTTATTTTCCCTTCGTTTGCTCTCGATTGTTGCATTGTTCTGCATCCACATCAAAAATAGCAACACAGATCAAATTTTGTTCACAAAGTTCAGAATTACAAAAAACCCAATTTTATCACGCTGATATGTTGTTGATTCTATCATTGTAACTTCAGATCGGAAGAAGAATGAACTCGTGCAACGACGATACTACTCTCAAATGGTATATTTCTATATTTTCAAGACTTATATGCATGTTTGCTCGCAAGTTGTGGTTGTGTCCGGAGCTTCTGTTTGTATGTAGAACTTTCTCAAAAATTTGAGCATTTCTGAGGCTTCAAATGTGGTTCTAAGGTGTGGCATCAGCACGATTGCTCGGCATGAATTATATGTCATCTTATCTCGTTTCACAATTTTAGACCCAAAATTCGTTATTGGTAAGACTAGTTCAATTTGTAAGTTTCAGACCGGGCAAATGTCGGAAAACACGTGACATCCTTTGCAATTTCTTTAAGTGCAGAAAGAAAGTTTCTTGATAATACACCAATTTTTTGTCAGCATTGCTTAAATCGAATTTTTCTTTATTCCCTACTTATAAGCAGCGTCCAGAAGTGCTCTTGTGCCGCCGTTGTGCAGGTATGCAGAGCCGTGCCAGCGCCGTGCTAGCGCCGTGCCGGCACCCACGCGGGTAGCTTTGCATTGATCGATCGACGGTTCGTCGCGCTGGCACTCGCAGCTCTAAACGCAGCCTTATAACCAAATTTCATCCACAACTGTCCTCTTCCGCCTTGAATTACTGAAAACGAAACAACTAAATACCAAATTTGCGTAGACATAGTACAAATTATTATCATCAATAAATTAGCACAATTGCTACTCACGACACGACGTCATTGCGGACATTAAGGCCCGTATGCACTAACATTTTTGCGGCGAGGGGAGCGGCGTCCCCCGTTATGAAGGGACCGCGTGCGGACGCCGCTGCGGCTTTTTCGTCATTGGGGACGCCGCTCCCCTCGCCGCAGGGATGTTAGTGCATGCGGCCCTAAGGGCCGCATGCGCTAACATTCCCGCTGGGGAGGGGATTGCAGCTTAAAAGAAAGCTTCATATTCTGAAGCTCCAGATATCTGGATTTTACGCTGTCTATCTGTCCGTAAGTATTCTTACTATTCTTCACTCTGAACATGTTGAACAGGAGCGAGAAGCTGTACGAACCGCATTTTCCAGCTTTTGTATGATCCCTGATGATCCCCGGCGCTTTTCTTTAAAGTCATTTTTCTTTCTCCAAAGTTGACGAAAACCTTCCAAAGTTGTACTGTACATCTAACACAACAGTGCTAAGCATGTTGCTGATGAGAACATATGAATTTCTAAAAAATCGAATTTTTCGGTAAACCCCAAATTTCGACCTGTGGATCATCGAAAATTTCATGACTTCAAAACATCATTTGTTCTTATCAGCAACATGCTTAGCACTGTTGGGTTAGATGATCTGCACAACTTTGGAAGTTCTTCGTTAACTTCGGAGAAAGAAAAATGACTTCAAAAGCGCCAGGGATCATCAGGGATCATACAAAAGCTGGAAAATGCGGTTCGTACAGCTTCTCGCTCCTGTTCAACATGTTCCTAGTGAAGGATAGTAGGAATACTTACGGATAGGTACACAACGTGAAATCCAGGTATTTGAAGTTTCGAAATATTGAGCTTTCTTTTGAGCTGCGATCCCCTCCCCGCGGCAATGTTAGTGCATGCGGCCCTAAGTCTCTGTAGTCAACATACATGGCTTTCATTCTTTGTCTCTGCTAATCGCCTGAACTTGCGATTTTTTCTATAAAGACGTCAAAACCGTAATGAATTCTAGCTCGTGCCTTATTAGTCATAAACTTCTTACTTAATCAGATGTTGACAATAAAAGTAGGAACTATGTCCGCAAGTACTTGGTCGCAAAAATAGGAGCTCGGGTCGTATATGTAGTTGTCTCAAGCCTCTATCTCTAAGTTTAAGATTATATAACAATTTTCATGTCGCCGTTGCTATATGCAACACATGTTGGGTTGGCTTGAAAATTCTCGGGCATTTCAGACTAAATCTGCTATTTTTCGAAATCTAATGCATGTACATGTGCGAAATGCAGCTAACTCTCTCTCTCTTTCGCCTGTAGCTGATATCAAAGCAATTGGGTGTGGAAGGAGTTTGGGATCAATGGAAGCGGAGTTTGCCACTCTTTAATCACCTCGTTTTTCTTGCTGTTCAAGCTCAAATTCATACAAACTGTGCATGAATGTAAGTATATGCTATAATTTGGAGCATGTGGGAGTTTCCGTTTCTAGAAGTGAGAGATCTGAGTTAGGTCGAAATTTCATGCCTTTCTAGTTTCGCCATAACTTTTGGAGAAAACATTGATATGCTCTTGCCTAGCATAATTCTTATTAGAGATTGATATCCTTTATCCAACGGTGTGCAGTATGCTTCAATCAGTTCCTACATAGAAATAAATAGTTTGAGATGAAATGTCCGAGAAATTAGGCGCCAACCTAATATCTATCTCTGAGTTTTCCCAATGTTTTTCAACTATTTTTTCACAAGTGGAAAACTCCTTGAAAGTCTTTCTTTTGTTAATTGACTGTGGGATTGAAGTCGTTACTTTTGTGGTCACCTTACAGGCACCCTCGATTGCATGGGCATTGCACCGAGTGTTTAGTGTACAATTTGCTGCCGGTGGTGCTCCTCCAGAGAAAATTCACCCTCTTGTCGATATTGAATGTACAAAATAAGGCACGAATGACTCGTCATCTCATGCAGGTGCATCTGTCAAACGAAGTTCACAAGCAAGTCTCAATCATTTGATCGTTATATTGCTCCTTTGTCCGAATATCTGATCGTCTTTCAGTTATTGCTGACTTCCCTCCTTTCCAGCTTTTACCCGAATTTCATTCATTTTTCGTGATCGTTGTGATTCTGTTGTTGGTGGCTTTGTCTTGCCTGCTTAAAGTGGCTTTCATTGTGGATTGCACTCGGGTCCAGCTCCATTTTTTGCAAATTTTTTTGCTATCTTCTTTCTGAATGCAGTCCATCTACCCACCCCCCTCCCCTTCACTCATGTGCAACAATAACACTAGTGCTCATCTTTTCGTCCTTCTCATTTTAGGCTGATCAGATTTGTTACGCGGTGCTATGTGTGTTCAGCTTCGCAGCAGCTGGTCACAAGAAACCAGAATGATAAATTTGTAGTCATTTTCCACAAAGAATTTTCTCAAGTTTTATCTTTTACTGTAGTTTGTGCTTAGCTTCCGTAGCTTTAACATATGTTTACCAAACTAGACATATTCACTTCTCTTCATGTGAATCGTGTATGTATTTATGTCGGTGTCATCGCTAGAGCAATCTTTTTTTTAGTTTGCCGTTTATGTCCTGAACGTTATACTATTTCTCATTCACCCGTTAATATTTCATCGTACTTTGTACATAGAAATTGTATTTATTAAGCGTTTTTGGGTATATTTCTCTGCAAATCTTACATCTACTCTGCTGTTGTGAACGTCTAGTCCTTATTTGTAAATATGTTATTATGTTAGCATTTTGTGATCCAAAATTTAGAATGGCGCCCAGCCTGCAGCATAGTCTTGTAGGAATCTAGGATAAATCACTTTCACATTGGTCCATTGTCAGTGTAACATCCAGTAATCATGAAAAGTCTGCAAGTTCGTCTTTACTTACATAAATATGCCTCTAATTTGAGTAGAATATTTTGAAATCCCCGCTTATGAAGACCAAAAATTAACAAGTACTCTTCTGGGTCTTCATCAATCTGTGACTACAAGCGAAAAAAGGAGAAAATGATTGAGCGGAGGTGTGGGGACCTCCATACAAGAATTTCGAACCTATATGCAGGGCGTCCCAAAGTATGTATACATTGTTTGATTGTTAAAGGCAGTGTCCGGGCAAAAACTCGATTTTGAGATTTTATGCTTACCCGGGCCTATTCGCTATGCTGAATCCGAAAATCCACATTGGAGAGCGCGAAAACGACGAAAAGGGGCTCTAACACTGGAGGGAAATCAGCAAGTGGGCGGGGTCTTCCCCACTGTAAATTCACTTTCCCAACTTCGGGGCGATATTTTTGATTCCGGTTTCAGGTCATTCTGCACTTGATCGGTAGTGATGTCATGACGGCTAACGGATTCAAGAAAATTGCTCTGGAAGCTGGAAGCGTGAATTCACATTGAGGAAGACCCCGCCCACTTGCTGATTTCCCTCCAGTGTTAGAGCCCTTTTTCGTCGTTTTCGCGTTCTCCAATGTGGATTTTCGGATTTAGCATAGCGAATAGGCCCGGGTAAGCACAAAATCTCAAAATCGAGTTTTTGCCCGGACACTGCCTTTAATATCTACCTTCCCAAGAAGTCTTTTGCTTATCTGCAGTGTAGAGTTGGCTTCAGCTTAGATTTAAGTATGGAGCAAATCACCGATCGGTCTTTATTACTGTAGGAATACGGCAGGAACTTTGAAGGGAGGTTTTGGGTTGTCGGGAGTCATAATCCACATCAGAACGAGACAAAACAACTTGAAAACAATTACACTAGACTAAGAGCTCAATCTAAATATGAGAATTGCACACCATGACTGTTGCTTAATGGGGGCCTAGTTTGAGTATTTTGCTCACTCGATGAATTCTCACAAATCATTTTGACTTGTTTTACGACCAAAAAGGTGATGGAAAATGCAGGAAAATTGTTGAGTCCCGACTCTCGCGCGACTTTGTCAGATGTCAATGTAGGATATTCGAAATTCACCGAATTTCCGTCATGAGCTTTTGACTACTTATCTCAATACTTGTTTTATCCATAAATATCCACGACCGATACCCGACTGCTATTTTACAAGGAATTGAAGCGTTGACTCCGGATCATACGACAATACGGGTAAACATTTCCTTCTACATCTCAATAAAAAAGTAAGATTATGTAATATCTGCTTAAGTGATAATGATGAATGAGGTTATGAGAGGCGAGGTTCGGCCGAGGTGCGACGCGTGTGCGATACGCAGGGTGTCCCAGAAGTGTGCGTATACACTGCTTGATCGTTAATATCTCTCTTCCCAAGAAGTCTTTTACCTTCAGGTATCATTCTGTAAAGCCAGCGTTAGCTGTGATTTAGAGTATAGAATCACCGATAGCTCTTCATTACTGTTTCACAAGTCTCCAAATCTTTTTGAACGGTGTATAAAAATGTACAAGTGATATACTTGTAAATAACTAAAATAACTTTCGAAATTTTTCAGATATTTGATTTAGCCTTACAAGAAAATTTTTGGGAGCGTGATTCGCACCACTCCTCCCTTCTCTGATCCGGGGTTATGCTGCCGCGAAATTTCTGGGAAGCATACCAAAAATTTTCTCGAACTGCGTTTCTGACGCACTTCGAGAAAATTTTCGAAATTCTTCGAATTTTTTTTTGAAATTTTTCGCATCTTCACCAGGGAAATTTTTTGTGGCCATCCACCCTAACGGAAATCCTGGATACGCCACTGATACATAGTTATCACTGATTAAAAGAGGGTAAGTTGTGAAGTCCATTTTAACAAGGTCCGGATCCACGAATCCCAAGGTTTTCTTTTTAACATGAAATAAGTAGATAGTGGCGTACCCAGGATTTCCGTTCAGGCGGAGAGGGGGGGGGGGGTGCGAATTTTCTGAAAATTTCCTCGAATGAAAGTGCGTGGTCAGCCACGCACTTCGAAAATGTTTTTGTTGTACTTCCCAAAATTTAAGCGGGTCCAGCCTTTGAGAGAAAATGTTTTTTAGAATGCCAACTTGAATTTTTGATTAAAAAAATTATTCTGATTGTTTATAAGTATAAACAAGTCATTTGCGCATTTTTTTACTCATGGAAGTAGTTTTCAGAAATCTTGCGACCCATTCTCGGGAAGGGGGCGCCTCCCCCCCCTTGGTATGCCACTGGTGGACGTCACAGTAACTACCCTAACTTAGGGGTTTTCGAGGTTGCTCTTTTCAGTAGTCTGATTTGTTTGTTGCAAAGTTGACGTTTAGCACCGACGATGCTTAACCAAGATTAAAATTCGGATATGGAGGTTTTTAATTTTCTTCCTTAATACAAGACAAAAATCAGGTTTAAGGGTTCTGGAAACTGCTTTTTCGATAATGGTATATGTTTTTTGCGATATCATAAGATTTGCTTTTTGGACAATTTTGTGGAGAAAAAACGTTCTTTTCACAAAAACCGGATTACTTTCATTAAATTGTGCCAGATGCAGGAACACGTATGTGATTCCGTAGTATTTTCTTCTTCCTGACTTCTTTCTCAAGAATATGTCAACGTACAGCGCTTATACCAGCCAAGTATTCCTTGAAACCTGATATAGCACAGGTCACTGAGGTCATCGAGGCTGGCTGAATGCCAGAAAGCTTCTTAGTAGACGTGGAAAGCTCGGAGTGGTGCCAACAATAGAGAAAAACATCATTATTTTGGAAATATTCAAATTTAAATTTATTTCGGTTTTTAGGAAATTCTCGTATTTTAAGACCCAGTAAATTACATGGAAGAGCCACGAAGAATGGGCGGCGTGGCAGGAGTTCCCAAAGCCTCGCTGCTTTTCCTCGGAGGGATACTTGGCACTTCCAAAACTCCCTTGAAGGATTTCACACCCTCTCGAGGGCAAACGGCTCCGCCCATCCCTCCCTCTAGGTGCCCTCATTCTGAATTGTGCAGCACTTAAGACGTGCTTCATTGTATTTGAGGATAATAGAACTGAAATCGAGAAACAAAAAAGCTAGGTTCTCATAAGGTTTAGAATCCGTAGATGACTGAAGCATTTCCAGCATTCAAGTTATGTTCTACTCATGTTTTTGAAAATGATGCTTCCTTGAAAAGCAAGTGCTCGCGCTGCAGTGCTTGAGTAATTTTGTGAAGCATATAGTATTGATATAAGTCAAGAACTCAGCATCTTCCAATCACAATATATGTTAGAGAAGTTAGTCAATTTTCGCAAGTTCTAAACTTCATTTAACTGTAAGAAATAGTGACTTGGAATATCTTGCAAATTTAGTGTTTTGTTTTGAATTAGCCAACTCTTCAATATACATGCGACCGGAGTTTGGTATTCTAGTACATCGATTGTAGGACTTTCTACACATAAAAATTTCGTTTTGATAATTTTGATCTAATTGATCTTCAAAGTTAGAATGAGAAACTCACTCGAATAGATGGCAGACGAAAGTACGAAAGTATGTGTGTAAATGTCCTAACGGAAAGCGTCAGGTTGGTTGTTCAAAATGTTGCTATGCCCCTTTCAAAATAGGTCCTTTTCTTGCTGAGAAGGTAATCGGGTTCTTAACCACTTCTGGTCACTCATTCATTCAAAACTGATGCTTTACTTCAATTAGATGACCAGTACTTCAGAACTGGACAATTAGACCTCCTAATTTTACGAATGACTTGGTTTCGTCGTATTCAAAAAATCCTGTGCAATTTATCTTTGAGAATAATGGATGCTCATTTTTAATAGTACAAACGGAAGTTTCATTTGAGAAATGATAACTATTCTTCGTTTTTCTCCATTTCTCTCTCATTAACCTAATGAATCTATGTTCTCGCTGCTTGCACACTTCAAAATGAGAGTAGTAAATGGGTGGAGCAATGGGCGGGCCTGACCTCTGAGGCACGGAGGTGCTAGAACCCTCCTGGGTGCGAATGCTGGTGCGAACTTGGTGCGAGGAAAGGTGCTAGGAACTCCTACACGTCCTCCCGAAAAATGTAACGCTTACAAGCGACTGGAAGAAGAAACATCAGCGAAAATTGGTTTATTGTAAAATTTATATTTTGTTGTTTAATTATTCATTTTCAAAAATTAGAATCTGAGGGTAATTCTGGTTATTACTCAAGGTATGTTAATCGGCTTTCTGCTAACACTTCAAATTGACTGTCTGTGACCAATCGGCATAACACGTGGATCGCAGATACGGCTATCACTGGAGTACCTATGCGATTGGAATTTTGATATAAATTCGGGCTATTTTAAAATTTCAGGAATTCTGTTTATAATTGAATTTAATTTATTCCAGATACGAATAGATTTAGACGTACGTTCGCTTTAATCTATCTTGATTTAACCGTATTTTGGTAATCAGAACTAATTTTTATAAATCCATGCCACGGATGCTTTTTCAATTGTCCATTCATAACTTTTGGAGAAGCTTTAAACCTGAGTTTTGTTCTTGTAATGAAATAGAAAACTGAAAACCTCCATATCCGAATTTAACCTTGGTTAAGCATCGTCGGTGCTGAAGTCGACTTTGCAACAAACAAATCAGACCACTGAAAAGAGCAACCTCGAAAACCCCTAAATTCGAAATTTGGTCGTGATTGGAGCAAATTTATTTCTGAACTTCGATTTTGAAAGTTTCTTTGAAATTCCGGTTTCATCATCTCGAGCGAACACTAAATGAGGGGGCGGGGCTTGCGATGTCTTGGCCTCTTGAGGAGCTCGTAACTGTAGCGAGCTCGGATGTACCTGGCAGGCACATCACTTAGGTGCGAGAATATGGCTCGGGTGAGAAACTTCCCGCACCCCGTGAAAGAATTCAAAATATTCAAACGATATAGATACGCGCACAATGAGAGGCAGAATCGCAAGGATATGTGCAAACACGATTGCTGGATCGCTTATTGATTACATAATGCACT